TCTGTGTGTGATACGTACATGGCAGAGGGACTGTCATCTGGAGTCTCTTGCAGATGAATCCCAGTGTCGGGTCTGTACGTTTTTTCATTACACATTCTGTTACAGTAATACTCATGTGTCAAATGCTATGTATGTGGTTTGTGGCTATGTGGCTTGTGTTTGTATTTAAAGTAAAAATGTATACTAAAACCTCTGGAAAACAAACATTTAAGGTATCGGAGCCTTTCTGTTGAGAAGCTGAATCTTTGTTACACTGAATGCTAAACATTTACATATCCAAGCCTTATGTAATGGATGTCTGAATAATAATAAAACTGCACAAACTGACCTTCGTTCTCTGGCACCACATCTCCTTTGAAGTCTGCATGACCAAATTCAAGACAATTATGTCATCCTTCATAACAGCCAAACAAAAGTTTGGCCAAATAATCATTTTTCTCCATATAACAGCGCTGTGTTTGATTTTTGTAGTGTGTGTCAATGTAGCTGTTGTTATTTACTGGGTGTTACAAGTGACAGTAAAAATCCCCTTGTTTTATATTAATAATCAGCCCTGGTAACATCTGGATTTCATTTTACCTCAGTACCCACTTCTGCTATACTCAGTTACTTTGAGTAGTATATTGCGGGGCAAGAATGGCTTGAAAGCACACAGACAAATAATTAGCAGACCGTGGTGTTGCAGTATGTGCCCATACGTGACAAAAGTGAAACAGAGCCCTGGATGGAAGAAGGGAAACTGGCATTAACATTTCCCCTTCTGTCCAAATCTACTAGTGCCACGCTTTGAGTAAAATTCTCCATGTACAAGGCTGTCTCTGTCAGTTAAGGGTTGTCAGCGGAGACTCAGATTGCACGTTACTGGGCCTCAGACCTTGGGGAAACCTTGGCATACTGTCATCTCAGTCTTTGAGACTCTGCCTATGTCACCAAGCACTTTAATACTTGTTTATTTTCCCTCATTCCCTGATTCAAGTGATCTTTGCCCATGTCCATGTGCAGTGTCATGATTTAACTCTTTGAAAATGAATTATAGATTGGATACAGATTGGGATGGGTATAGAATGGGAGGAAATATTTTTTGAAACTACCTGTGTCATATAAACTGGATTCATTTCTGAAGAGAACGTTGTATAGCTTCTTAAATACTGCTTTGAGTGCAATGCTTGCATCTAACCCTGCGATTGCATGTGATGCTTTTGGAAGGAATACAGCTCCTGCTAGCGTAGCTGGATCCAGTGGAAGCGTGACGCCTTTTGCCATCTAGTTTTACGTAAAGAGCAGCAAATCATGTAGGTTGTGTTTATAGCTGGCTTAAGTTATTTTATCTGGACTCCCTACAGCTCTTGTGCCTTTACTTGATCGTGTTACAGCATGGGTACATATATGCATGTACATGCATACATTTGTGTGTGTAGGTACATACTTGCATAATGAATGTGCCTGATGTATGTGTTGTACTTCATCTGTTGCAAAATTAAACTACTAAAGGAAAAATGCTTCCATTCTAATATGGTTCGGCAAAGCTTCACTTCTGAACCGTTAGAATTATGACTGAAGACAATAAAGCCATGAAAAACTGAAGAAACAAACCACAAATGCAATCCTGATAATAATAATACTCTTTTGTATCCAATTGCAATTAGCTCTTGATTTAATTCCTAAATGAGCTTCCAAGATTTTGTTGGTTTAAATCATTATGTTGATGATCTTTATTTTGCTTCAGTTTGGTGTTGTGGTGTAGACAAATGTAATATGTAGAGTTTATGAAATCAGACAGCTAGTAAATCAGTATTATTTTGCTAGTAAATTACAAAGCGAGTGCAAGCTGCTTTTAACTCTTTCCCATGGGACAAACAGTTTGAACTAGCTGGAGTTTAAGTCAACACTGTGGGCACTGAATTAGTCAGTGATTCTGAAGAAGGCTTTGCTGGCATAAACTTCTGCTTTGATCATCCTAGTAGTTACAGCTTTTTAATTAGATACAGTTCAGAACAATGGCTTTTATCAAAGCAGTTTGGGAAGTGAACAACTGGACATTGTTTAGGGCTTTAGATGCCATTTTGTCTGTGGCTGGTTTTAATACGATGATGAAGTTAGGATTATTTTCGGCATTGTCACTGCTTTGTCAAAAGAAACTAGCTAGTTTAAAAAAAGAGCGTGGCATGCATTGCTTTTTAAAATATCATAAGTTTAATCATTTTTCAACATATTAAAAAATGATCATTTGCCTTGGGATTGTAGAGGACAGACTTTAATTTTGCACTCATAAATTTGAAAGAAGTGACTTTTTTGTTCATCTTGACTTATTTTCATGTGCTGAGTGATTTGTTGGGAAGTGCTGAGCTCTTTTTGTTCAAGATTGAAGGCAGTTGGTTCCATTTTCAGTGTCAGACATTGCAGAGTTGGCTTGTGATGTAAAGTAAGCCCAAAGCCAGCATGAAAATTCCTCAGGGATCTTGGCAGACTAGGGCTCTATCGTTCCTGGAATGGTAGACTGGCCTATGTACACTTTTAAAGCTTTACAGTAAATGTTCATAAAATTGGTAAAGTTAGGGGAGCAAGAAAGTTAAGGAGCCACTGATGTGTTTAGAGCAGCTTCTGCAGTTTAGTGTTCAAACAGAGATAGCTTACAAAGGTTCTTTTTTACAAGCTCAAGTTTTTTGAGGAAGAGATGGAAAACTTTGGAAATGGTCAGTGTTTGTTAGCTGCTTAACTACAGGGAGTAGTGCTATTACACTAGATCTGCCTACTCTTAATGCCTTTAAAACGTGTTTCAGTAGTCCTTGGTTCTGCTTAAGTGCAGCTAAGTTTATCTATTTACCACTTGGGTTTCTTGTTCAATAGTTATACGTACAACTGTGGTGTGAATGCATCCTAACCTCATTAGTGAAATGGGCCAGTTTCTCCTTATATTGGTAAGGTTTGAATTACACATCCTTCACTTTTAATTCACTTTGGTGATTTTGGAAGAAAATAGTGAGTCTTGTTCTCGTGAGTTTATTTCTGAAATAAAATGTGGATTAAAGTGTGTTCATCTGGTTTAGTATTAAGACATATACTAATCTCTTGCATTAATCTCAATCTAGTCACTCATGAAAATCTTTTACATGGAATCATAGAATCATAGAATAGTTAGGGTTAGAAAGGACCTTAAGATCACCCAGTTCCAACCCCCCTGCCATGGGCAGGGACACCTCACACTAAACCATGTCACCTGAGGCTGTCCAACCTGGCCTTGAACACCGCCAGGGATGGAGCATTCACAACTTCCCCGGGCAGCCCATTCCAGTGCCTCACCACCATTACTGTAAAGAACTTCTTCCCTATATTCAAACATGTTTTTAACATGTTAAACTTTTTTTTTGGCACTTACGTAGACTCGAAGGTTTACTTGGATCCAGTTAAGTTTGTAATGTTTGTATCTCTTTGACTGATGATTTCTGACAGGTAGCTCTTCCATGTTTCAGTGCACTTGTTTTCTGGGAGGGGGAGTAAAGGTTCTTAAATACAAGTTAAGTTGTGCCTTCCTGTATTGTCAAAAATAAAAGGATAATGTGAATGTACTGCTTTTGTCAGAGGTCTGCTCAGGTGCCCACTTAGGTCTATGGGAGTAAAACAATTTGCTGTAAATAATCTTTATTAAAGCTTGGATGAGCTCTTAATGTTCTGTCATTTGCAATTGTATTGGGGCAGAGTAAATATCAGTCAGTGTTCTCTGTCACTGGAATAAATGACTCACTGCCTCACTTTCATCCACAATATGACTTTCATTCATAACGATGTTAATAGCCACTACATTATGTTTGAGGTAGTTTTATGTGCAAACTCTGTCACCATGGTGATTAGAGAAATTGGTGTTTTCCTCTCAGTCTGGGTGTAATACAAAGTTCTAAAAAGTCTTAACTTGTTTATAACTGGCCCATCGTATGTCTGACGACTCTCAGGGAATCGTTCTTTGAAGTTTTGTTATGAAAACGTGTGCATGATATTCTTTTCAAAAGACAAATTTTAAAGGTTGCAGAGACAGAGGAATGAAAGTAGGATGTAAATGGAACAGCTGCTGAACGGTTGTGGCGAAGTCAAAGAAATGCTTGGGGAAATCATGAATTTAGTCACCCTATGCTTTCTTCATGAAGAAAATCAGAAACCAAAAATACTCTCTTGAAGAAGGACATGACTGAATAATTTGATTCATATTACTTTTTAATATTGAAGAATTATATTTAAGCAACCATTTTCTAAAATGTTCTGATAAAATTCTCTAGGAAATGAATAGGATACAATGCAAGTGAAAAACGACATTTTTAAAGGTCACTTGAAGAATTTTGGCCTTTGCCACAAATCTTTCATTTTAACATTTATGATATCTGGTAATAATGTCTTTGATGCCTGTGTAAATGAATGTAAGCTTAAATAAGTGTATAATTGGTGTAACCTAGAGATAACTCTATAAGTGATCTTTAATCTTTTCCCTGATCTCTTTCAAAGTAATAGCACTTTTTGTAATGAAGCTGTATTCTTGGTTTGCTTCCCTGATTGCAGTTCTGGGTGTGCACTCTGAAAGATTTGATGTGCTTAATTTCTGTACTACTGCCTGAGTGCAGCCACACTTGGGATAAAAAGAGACTTTAGTCATCTTATTCGTTCTGGGTATGAAACTCCTTTGGTTAGGATCTCAGAAAGCCCAGCACCTGCTCAGAACATGATGACTGTCCTGGCTGCTCTAGATCTACTGTGTGATTTCTATGCAGAATGTTGGGAATGACAGCATATTTGTACATAGCAGTCCTTTGGCTGAAGGCACAGCATCAAATACACTTTATCTTAAAAGACTTCACTTCCTTTCCCATGTAATTATTATGTATTGAAATAGTAAATAAATTCAAAATACTGTAAATAAGCAGCAATGTATGTAGTACTATTAATGGCAAGCAGTAAAACATATACCAAATAAATTAATGTGGGTTGGTCTTTTTCTTCCATGTTCAATTTTTTAGACCTCCAGAATTACTCGCTCTGATGAAGATAAGGATGGCTCCTGGGATGCCTGGGGAGCCTGGAGTGATTGCTCACGGACATGTGGCGGGGGAGCCTCCTACTCACTGAGGAGGTGTTTAAATGGCAGGTAAGCCATAGACATATGTGTATTTATTCTTCTGCAGCTCTGATGTATTTCCCTATCTTCATGTCTGTAGAGAAGCATTATTTCTTCTGTTTATGGAACCAAGTAGTGTGCACAGATCAAATGTTATGAAATACTCCTTTTAATATACTTTTGTAATATATTAGATAAATATCTTAGCCTTCAACTCTGATAGAACTTTAGCATGTTATTAAATATGTTTGTGGAATAATGAGAATGATTTAGTATGGTCAAATATTGAAAGAACTCCCTGTCACTGTAATATAAAGTGAATGGTGAGTTACCTGCATACAAACCAGCCTGCACTTGAACATTACTTGAAATAATGTCCAAGTGCAGGCTCCTCCATGTCTTCCCTGTAATGAAAAACAAGTGACCTACTCTACGTATAGATGTACACATGCTGCTTTCTGTTAGGAAACTTTTCCTCTGCCAGCACTTCTTGTGCAGTGGTCCTGCGTTTTCATGGATAAGCCTTAGTGTAACTGGAAGAGAGCAGTGTGTGTGGTGAAAACAGTTTATCAGTAGTAAAGCTGGACTAACATAGGATTTGTTGCTACAGTCCTAAAAAGAGGAGTAATGCAATAGACCTGTAGTCAGGCTAGAAGAGATCCCAACCAGCTGAGAAGTATCTGTGGTGGTGTACATAATTGCCTGCTTTGCTTGAATTATTCTGGAGATTTTTAAAACTGGTAGTTATGCTTAAATTTCTGTTTTGTTGAGATTCCTTAAGTTAAATGCAGTATCACCCAGGAATTTGATTTTTCTTAAAGAAGGCTTGCAGTGTGACACACTAGTGAAGTGCAAACTGTGTAAAATGCGTAGCTAAAGATGATTGATTAAAACATTGCCTGTTTCTTTAGTGAAAAATGCACAAAAGGCTTTGAGAAAAGCAAGAGTTCAAGCAAGAAGCCGTGATATTCTACCAGAGCGTTAGGAACTATGAAATGAGCTCAATAAATTGCAGCAATATAAATTCCACTGTGGTTTTATTAATATTTTTAATGTGTTCCCCTGTGAAAAACATGTGTTTTCCATACCTTGACAAATGTGTACTTTCAAGGTTTTTTTTCCTGTGTGTTTTATTGTTGTTGTAATGTCCAGGAAATGTGCAATTGTGAAACAAAGTTTTCACATTTGTGTGTATCATAAACATTTTTAACTTGCATGTTCCGATGCGATCTATCTTGCAAAAGATTGGAAATTTGAGACATGTAATACCTTGAGCTTGCAGAGCTGTACCTTCAGCTGAGCTTGTTGAACTCTTGCTTCAGGCATCTGTTGCCTTTCCCTTTTCAAATGGTAGTCATCAATGTGTCACACATATTAAAGAATTTGCTTAATATTTGCAATCAATTTTCATGGAAAAAGTGGAAAGCTCAACAACAGCTTGAAGTTACCAGCCATACGTTCATGCAATCTTTAATGTAAGGCAGGCTTTTTTGGTAAAAGGTATTATCCCCAAACACTATTGCTGATTCTGGAGACATCACTAATTATAATTCCCTGACAAATACTTTGAAATGTGTTTTCAGTTCTTTCCAGGGCTTGATTTTCTCATTATTAAGGTAAGTATCTTACCCTGTGCAAAGTGCTGGTCAGTTACTGAGGAGTTTGGCAAACTTTGTCCCTAAGAAAACAAAAGTGTGAACCACCCCCAGTTATGAGACCACAATAAAAATCATGACTTTATTATATGCCTGTTATTTCAGCTACTAACAGCAGACGTTGCCAAGGATCTCTATTGCCTGGATTTCAGGATTCACATGCATTGGGCACTTTAGAAATGCATGAGAATTTGATTTCATTAAAAATTATGAAATCTGCTCATGTGGCAGTAAAATTACATGCTGTTCTTCAAAAGTTGCATTGGAAGAAAGGAAAGGTTTTAAGCTGTTCTTTCTTTCCTAAACAAAACAGGAGAAGGGAAAGTTAATGCTCATTATTCTGATGCTCGATTAAAGGATTGCTTAGATACTCTGATCCTCTTTTCTTCTGGGTTGCATCTGGTGGGTTAGAAGCAGCTTTGCTGCAGTCAGCATAGATCAGGCTTAGGGATATTTTGTGAAATCTTTTTCACAAAAGAAATGTGGTTTTCATAAGGTTTGCAGTAAATTAGGCTTTCAGGGAAAGCCACACGTTCTTTGCTAAAGAGAGACAGCAGTGTAACCTGTTGAATCCCCAGATCCCCTTTGTATTTAAACCTTGCATTTTGAGTCCAAATTATGGTAGGGCAATAGCTATAAAAGTCTAATTTTCAAGCAAATAACTAGCTGTGAAACAGGCACGGCTGTGTTTTGCCATTATTCAGTGTAATCAATTTACTCTGTTTTTCAGGAACTGTGAAGGTCGAAATATTCGATACAAAACCTGCAGTAATAATGTGAGTCTGGTTTTTAATCCTATTTTACTTATTCAAGTAATATGTTAAAGTTCAAGAAATGCTGCTGCTTGTTTAAAACCTCATAGTACGTAATTTTCTTTCCATTATTAATATTAAAGATTTCAGTCTGCATGACACCACAAGGTCTGAAATTTAGGCTTCCCAAATGGACGTTTTCTTTTGAAATTATAAGGCCAATTGTGATTCAGAACGTTTTATATCTTTTATTAGGAAAGTTCCACATTTTGGTGGATTAACAAATCAGTTACCATAAACTAGAGAGTGCTTTTCCTGGGAGTGCTGTCTTTCAGAGGAAGCATTAAACTGAGCTCTTGATCAGTTTATGGTTAATAATGATTTGTGATCAGTAACGATACGGTGGTACTCTTCACCTGAGCAAAGAGGTTAACCGCCTGTGTCCCTTCCTTATCTTAAATTGTATAATTACTCCTTCCATTCCCTCTTTTCCCTAAGCCCAGATTTTTATATGTAAAAGCATATATATTGAGGTATGCTGGCATTGCTGATTTCCATGACTGATTTTAAAGCTGGAGTTCTGATTACACAGTTGCTGTTGATGTGATGCAATCACATTATACAGACACGCTGTATGACAACCAACTGCATACTCCATACCACATGACTTGTCCCCAACTGATTGTAGTGATGTTTTGTGCTTAAATGTGTGTAAATGGCTTCTGCCTTTCACTCCAGATGTTGTCTGTTCAAGGTGTGCAGGACTTTGTGATAGCACTCTCCCACAGATGCTTTGTACAAACACACTAATTCAGGGTGGTTTATTTTCAGCAGTCTCCCCCTTGCATTGGTTAACTTACCATGTAAATGATAAGTCAATGTGATATTCATATAATCCCATTCCAGAAAAGAGAGAAGGTAGATAAGTAACTAAATCAAAAGTGTCTTTTTTTTTTGTCTAGTGCATTTGATTCATCTGCTTCTAGGTGGGAGAAAGGTAGCAATTTTCGCCCAAATACCACTAAAAGGTGAGGGCTGCAGTTCCCTTGGGTTTAATTATATCCATGCAAGAGTAGGTGATACTCATGGCGTTGCCAACCCCGCAGCAATGTGTAGCTGTGAAGTATGACATTCTTAAGCAGCTTGATAGTGAAAGTTGCCCAGTAAATATGTTGTATTGGTGTATATCCTGGGAGAACTGGCCATTCCCACTCTTCAGTTTGCTACACCTACAGTTTCTTGTGTGCCAGTTGGCTTTTGCCCTCTTTGAAAACAAGACTTGCTAGCACCTTGAATTGCTCTAACGCTCCACTCCTCAGTGCTGGATGGATTTTCCACCACAGCAGCTCACTGCCTGAGTTCCTGCCTGAGGCTAGTGGAAGTGGTTGATGAATCCATACATGCTAAAATCAGATTCTGGAGACAAACCCTGTCACCTTCCCTTTCAGAAGAAAAGGCCTAGCATCTTTGTGCACAGTGTCCTTAGCTCATAAATCAAAATGCCACATACAAAACCCCCCCATAATCTTTTAAAGCTGTGTGATAAGCTAAATAGCAGCCAGCCAGTATGTGTGCAATAAACAAACTGTCCCTGTAAAATGTATTTGCTACATTCCTTTTCTACATAACTAGTTGTGTGCATTGTGTGCCTCTGATTGCTTGATCCTGTGCACTTCAGCTTCCCATGAGCAGTACACACAAGCCAAAGTAGTATACCTTGTTTATCCAGCAAAAGGACTAGAAAACTACGCAGTCTAAAGAGAAAGGAGAAAGATGAAATCAATTTGGGCATATTTTCTCCTGTAAGCAAATGTCTGCATGTTTTTAGGATATGTAAGAGCAATTGTGGATGCTGTTCATTTTAAGGATTATGTAGTAAAAATCTGATAGAAATGGAGGCACATTATGCTTCAGCACAGAGAGAATTAAGATGATTACCATATCCTTTCTGAACTCCCAGGGAGTTTTTCTGAAGTCATTGGGGCCTGTTTTCTAACTTTAGGACTTATTTTAAAGCGATAAGTGGCAAGCATCTTGTATGTGAGTGTTAGAATTTATGATGATTCAAATGTTAATTTCCAGACAGGAAGCTGCCTTTACAGTTCTGCTTTTGGGGCATGTCTGAAAGGGGTCAGGTTTCCATTTCAGTTCAGATACAGCCGGAATCTCTCTGAATGTTTTTTCCTAGATTGTGGATCAGATAATGGAGAACTCCTGAGAATAATTTCATGAGATTTCTACTGTTGCTGCAGTTGATCTTTGAATTTGGCATCCCTGAATTCAAGCCCGGTATTAGACCTGGCTTAACCTTGACACAAGAGCTAACACCAAATGTAAACCTGGGGCCAGTTTTGTTTCAAATGATATAATTTTACCCAAAGCATTATTTCTAATGAATGCTTCTCACTTTAGGAATAAAATCTTAGTTTGAAAATTAAGAGTTGATACAAGCTTCTTTCCGTATTAGTAGGCATTATTGTTAACCACATGAGACACTCAGTATATATACACTATGTAAAGCTGTCTGCAAATGTAATTTTGCTACATGATACATTACACCACTAGCATCTATATTGGGGAGTACAAATGAAGCACAAGTTAATATGTGTGTCATTCTAATGAAAAGAACAAGAATCATTTTACCAGAAAATTGGTTTCATCTGGGTTTGTAATAGAATAGTAGTAAGTTCATTGAACTCAAGCATAGTTCCAGAATAATATTAGTGATATTTCAATCAAGAAGTTAATTCAAAGTCTTAGCAACAAAATAACTGCTGAGATTAAGGCATATGTATATTCTGCTTATCTTTCTATCTTAAATAAGATACCAGGTGCCAGATTTCCTAAAACTGCATGCGTGTTTGCAGCTTTTCTTATAGAAACTTTGGAGAAATAAGCTACATAAATTGTTCATTATATGCTGTTCAGTGAGATTTTCAGTCTTTCTTAACCCTCCTTTTTTTTTGTATTTCCATTTTTGTATATACTGTTACATTCTAATGCTATGATATGCGCTATATGGAAGTGTTTAAGATAATCCTTTAGGGTCCTATTCATAGAAACAAGTTATTTGGGCCATTTCTCCATAAATTTCACATTCTTGTGTGCCAAAAAGTCACTTACATATTTGCCAGAGTGACTCTTCTGCAGTAAGAAAAAACTCTGCTTTGTAACAGATTTCCCATGTTTAATTCCATTATAAACTTTTATTATAGGCAGATGATGCTCACACTTGTTCAACATATTCATCAGATTATTGCTCCATCATCTACTTCTTAAACAGCTCATTTCTCCTAGTCAGAAAATCTTGGCTGAACTGTGTCTACTTTAGTCCTACAATATTTCACCTCGAGTTCCCCAGTTTCTCTCTAATCTGCTTGTTTGTTTATTTCATTTTGATAATGCTGATGCACCATATGGCTCTTGTGGCTAGGGTGCTTTCTAGCTCAGGTATCTTGATTTTACTAAGAAGTGGCCTGAAAATTGCTTAGGAAAACATAGAGCCTGAAGCTAATTTCAAAAAGAAAACAAAACAATGACTTCATCGCTTTTGGCTAAGTTTCAACAAAATGAGATCCAAAGAATAAAACTAGACAAAGGGCTAGACTTTCTTTGGTGTCATCATTTTTACTGGGAATTTTCTTGCCTTCTCTTTTGTGCTTTTTTCAGTGGAGTAATTGTTGGCAGGAATCGCAGGGTCTGATGCAACCTTCATATTTTGTACATGAACATTGCCTACAAAGATACAGATTTCCCAGGTTAGCTTTGTTTTCAAAGGCTAGCAGTGCTTGCTGCCAAAACTCAAATGATACATTTCATAAGAAGCCAGCCCTTGAATGCAGTAGTTTTTAATTGTCTGTCACAATAAGAATGGGAATATATATATGTACATACATGTATGTATTTTTAGCTTGCATGGTAGTCATGTCTGACGCATTTTTTCAGATCTAATAATATGTTCATAACTCATGTCATAAATACACTTCATTCTCTTATAATATCTGGATGTAATTATTTTGCTAAAATTTTCATGCATTAAACCTCATAGATATGTCCTCAGCTGCTTATGTAGTATGTGAACCTATGAACAGCCTGGCCTGAATTGGATTGAATGCAAGACACAAACTGTTGCTAAAGTTAGGAAATCTGAAAAATCCTGGAATTAGTCACAAAAATGTTTAACAAACAAGAAAAAGATGTGGAATACTGAGAGGGAAGGGGGAATGATGGAATGAATTGATGTCTGAAATAGGTTAAAACCAAAAAGAGATACAAACAGGATGAGGAGATGAGGATTGGGCCCTATGTGTCATTGTCTGACAGTGCGGCTTTGCCCACTTCCCAAACATGTCTCACCCTTATCTCTTTCACATCATGCCATCCCCTTTTCCTTCTTTATTTCTTAAACTCCCTTTCATTTTTCTGACCACTGTGATGGATTAAACTGAAGTTTACAAGTTCTCTTGTTGTCTTGATTACATTCCTTTGTGTTTATTTGTCTTTGTTTAGATTGTAAACTCCTTCCTTTATGCAAATATTTATTGTTCCCAAGCAAACAGGGATCTGAACTTGGTTGCTGTCCAAACTGTGATATAATGCAAATGATAATTTCTTCCCTGCAATATCTCTTTGTGATGCTTCTTTTATGCTCCTGCTTTTGGACACAGCTCAAATACAAAGCAGGTGGAGCTGGCATGTGAATCAAGCTGCCTGGATCGCTTTGTGTTCTTTGAAGATGCCAAAACAGAACAGGGAGATGAGAATTCACTTGCTCTCAAGCAGCCAGGAAGCGAGTGGAAGGAAGGAGCTGCATTGTGTTGAATCAATGAGAAACATACAGTAACCACAGATTGACATCCTGACATTGTGGTGTTTGTGTCTTGGCATCGCATCAACACCAAGTGATAATGAATTGTAACAACAGCTTGTCAAAACTCAGCCTAGGGCCATCACTCTGCCTATTTTACAGATAGCTCTTTAATTCTTTGTGATGAAAATGTGGCTGTGCGTGGCTGAATAACACTACTCTGACATACTGCTTCTAACTTTACCTGAATCTAACTTCCACTTATATTTATCCTCAGCTACTACTCTATTTGTAATGGTGGAAGGGAACCATATGGTATCCATATGAACTTTGAAGTTTTCTCTGCTTTTTAGACTTGCTATTGTGGAAAATGGGAGGTGACAGATAAGTCCAAACCAAATTCTGCTCTCATTTACACCAGTGCAAACTTGGTGAATTTCTTAGGAGTGACACTGCAGTAAATAAGGGTGGTTTCCAACCGTGTTTGCTTGATGTTTTTAGAAGCTCTCACTTGTGGGATTTTGTGGAGGTAAAATTCTCAGAGGATTACAGTAACTGTCATTTCCCCTTGTCTTATTCCATCATTTTAGTTTTTTAAAAAATATGGCTCAACCTAGAATTATCCCCGATTAAAAATAATACGAAATGTATTAGCATCATTCTGAGTTATTCTTGCTGTAAGTGTAGCACTGGACAGAGTTGGAAAATGTTGCTGGAAACTCTCAGTGAATTGCTTGGTTCTCAGCTGCACAATCCCAGATGTCGATCAGTAAAGAGAATATTAATATTAGAAGATATTTTTATGCAAACTACAAATAAACCAGAGATATTTCTAGGTTACTGTTTTCTATGGTGAAAAAAATCTAAGGCATTGCCAAAGCTAGTTAAGCTAATGCAGTGCCAGTTCATCCAGATTCACGTGAGGAAGGTAGTGTCAGGACAACATTGTTGAGGTCATTGGACTGGAATCTGAACCTTTCTCATGTATGTTTTAATCTTCAGTACTGTGTAATGCACTTACTATTCCTTTAGCTTTTTTTCAGGGAAGGTTCAGTTCACTGATAAGGCTGAAGCTGAGTTCAGGATTAGTATTGTTAACTAATACTTAGTAATAAGTTCCATGAGTTCAGCTGACACATCACAATGTTTCTGCCTTACATCCAATGAAAACAAATTTGTTAAAATCAGCCTCACATCTGGCTTATATGCAGTTGGAATTCTTGGAAGAATATCCTTTGTCTGGCATATGGACTGTTTGACACTGGACACGCTTTCAAATGAAGTCTTTAGTGAGAAGTTGACACACTAACTCCTTTGCCAGTACTTTACCAAAGTTATTTTTGAATAAATAAGTTTTCATCTCCATTCATGTCACTGTAGTTTGATATTAACAACATTGGGTGCAATGCTTTATCTAGGAAAAATAGTTTAGAACATTTTATTTCAAACAGTTCTTACATTTGGTCTTTCAGCTGTATGTTCTGAGGCTCTGTATGGGAGGAGGTACAGAGCTGTCTCATTAGAATTGGAACTATATAATCAGTAGTTACCAATTTGAAGTATATTTCATTTCAACAAAGTAACCTTCACTGCTTTTATGAGGTAAAGAAGCTTCGGTAGACTAAAAGACTAAGTGCTGAAAGTTCTGCTGCCTCCTCCTAATGCTCTTGTCCCGTGTTGGAGCAATACTAAACAATTAATTAGATATTTTTTTCTTTGTGTAAATAGCAATAATACCTCTTTCATTACTCTGACGTATGAACTGATGGATGAGTGTAGAGCAGTCAGAAATCCTTTAGTGGAAAGAGCTATTGAAAAGAGAAATATTTAATGTCAGACATCTTATTATATTCACTTAGAGTTATATAGATTCCTTTGGAAGCGAATTCTTACTACAGAACCATACTTTATATATACCACATAGTGTCATAAAAAGTAGCATTTTTAATTTTTCTCTCATATCAGTTATGTTGTTCCTGGAATATGTGTGATATTCTGTTACTTGTGCTGAAAGCAATGGATTAAGCACCATAAATTGTTTTAATACACACTTTAAAACCTTGCAGTATGGTGTATTTGTCATAGCAGATCAGTTCTTGAGCCAAGCCTCCCTGAATAGATTCTGTGTAATTCATCAGATAACATTACTGCAAACATGAAATATTCCTTTCCTAAAACTAACATTTCCTTTGATTTGTTTTTAGGACTGCCCTTCAGATGTTGGTGACTTCAGAGCCCAGCAGTGTTCAGCCTACAATGATGTCAAATACCAGGGGCATTTTTATGAGTGGATCCCTGTGTATAATGATCCTACTGCACCATGTGCCCTGAAGTGTCAAGCTCTGGGAAAGAATTTGATTGTGGAACTTGCCCCAAAAGTACTAGATGGTACTCGTTGCAATATTGAATCTTTGGATATGTGCATCAGTGGAATATGCCAGGTAAATTCATGGTGTAAATCTAAATGTGACCTTTGTTGTGAGGCACTTTGCTCATGAGTGGGTGCTTTCTGGTTAATTTTCATCTTTATGTACAAGTTTACTTTAGATCTATCTGCAAGTACTGCCCGATGGATTATAGATAACTTACCTTTTCTTGCATATAGAAGTTCGTGACTGCCTTAGCCATTAGTATTTTGTATATAAAAGGTCAATAACATTCACTCTTATATTTGTGTGTTAAAATTAATGAAACTAGTTATGCTAGTTATAGCTGTCCAACCTTTAATATGTCTTCCTGGGGGCGTGATGAAATTGCATAGCCTTCCACTTCAGTTCACTCTTTCTCTGAGGTCTGTATCTTATGAATACTGTTTAAAGAGAAAACTTGATGTTTTATGGGATCCAGCCCAGAATGGCAGGTGTGAGAGTATGTGTGTGTCTTGTTGAATGGATGAATGAGTATATGTTGTGATTGCATGAACTGATTGTTAGCATCATTTTACTGGGAATCTACATTTCTAGATTTATTATTATTATGCTATCGATTTTACATAATTGGTGTAAAAATGGAGAGTTATAGTATTTGAGGCAAGCAGTACTGCAATCTTAAATTTTATAAACAGAACAATTTTATATAGAGTGGATATGTTACTGCAATTGGTTTTCTTTCTCTGCAAGTGGTTATTGCTCTGTTAAATGCTTAAAATGTGTGCAACTCAAAAATGCAGGATATGACCCAGTGAGCAAAACAGCTCCATTATAGGGGAAAATTTGACACCTTTGGCATAAGACTGGTGCATGGATTACAGCAACGTTAATATATGATCTGGATTTTGCGATGGATTTTATGTGATGTCTATGCATACTGCAGTTCCAATGCCAGTCATGCCGACACGCAATGCATCTGCTGCCGCTGAAATAGAAAAATTCCTTCTGGTTTTCCCCTTCAAAAGACTTCATTTGTCTCTTCCCAGTGCTATCCAACAGTGTTCATTACCCTGTGTATTTAAAATAGGATATACCTCTATGAACTCTAGAAGCACTTGTCAATGAAAACTTTTTTTTCTTTTTTTTTTTTGCAATATTCTCAGTGATATTCTAATACAAGCTTTCACCCTGGAGAAAGGTCAAAAAGCCTTTTCTAGGTGATGCACTTAGAGCAGCCTCTGCTGTTTGTGACATTGCCGCATGAAGCTAATGGAGATCTGAGTTTTTCAAAGGCATTTGAGACTCTTGCTCAGGGTCCTGTGGGGTTTCCTGTGTCTCCCACAGTGGCTTCAAACATTTGCTCTCTTTCATGCATAGCATAAAATTCACTTTGTCTAGAGTGGATCCAATTTTGTGTTGAACAGTTGAAAAGTATATTTAAGAGGGCTGCCTTCAATGTCTCTTGTTGTATTTTGCAGTATTCATGTGTATATCTGATAGCAAATGCTTGGAAATTTAAATAATCTGTTCTTAGAATAAACATAGTAGTAGCAGGAGAAGCTAATCATTCCAGAAATAGAACTGGAACTCATTCATACTATTGGTGCGAATCAACTTTTCTCCATCTCTTCCATTTTTTTCAGTGTGAGAAGAGCCTCAGAAAAGAGGGAAAACCAAACCCAAACGTGTTTAGTGTGTGTCCTGTGTTGTGACTTAAGCAATTTATTTAATTTATAACTTAACTTCATAAGCAGCTAGATGTTTTCACTGTATTTCCTTTAAGTCACTGGCATTTGCTGAAGTATTCTTGCACAAATGGAAAATTTCTTCTCTCTAAAGTATATATGTGATAATTTAGTGTAGGATAATTTTGACGTAAAAATTTGAACTTCAATTCAATGAATTGAAATGACAGGAATTCACTGGAATTACATTTTTCTCTTTGTGGAGTGTTCTGGGTGCAGAGTGGAACAGTCGTTACTTGTGAAAGGGACTACGAGAGGTGGGGGACTTCCTCAGAAACCAACACCGAGCTTTGTTGCTGCTTCTGTTTAAGCAGCAAAAGAAAACAAATTGACACCTAATCTTCCCTGGGAAAATATGGTTATTTAGTCAACTGCTGTTAAGAGGGAGGCAGCAAAATTGATTCTGCACAATTGTTGCTATAAGATCAGTCTGTTGGGTTCTGACATATACTTGGCACAGCCTGCAAATAACTTGGCAAGTGTTTTTACAGTTAACTCATCTAAATAAACATGTCATACTGCTGATGTGGATATCTTTGCTTTTATGCCTAGGAGCACCAAAGAGTTAGTATAAGGAGACTGTCTTGCCTGAGTCCCTTTCCAACTCGTGCTGGTTTTGCTCACTTATTGTCTCAAAGTTGGCAGGTTTTATAAGATCTCAGCTTCCCCTCCTACCCCCCAACATGATTTCACTTTTGTCTGCTTCCTTATGCTTGGTCAGGTAGGACTGCATCACTAATTCTACCTCTTGGATTCCTGCTCAGTCTGTCTCCTTGGCAGCATGCGAATTTACAAGTACAGAGGGTTCCTGTTGTCTGCAGCAGGACAGGGTTTGTTCTGAGTCTCTGCACTTCTCTTAACAAAGAAAATCAAACTAAATAATGCTTCATCAAAGAAAATCATGAGATGACAGAGCTGCTCTTTGGATAAGAGGTTTGAGGCTTCAGGGGAACTCAACTCTAAAGGCAGTTGAACAGGGAAAAGTTTATTGGGAAGGTTAAAGATATTTTGGGGTTGCTTAAGGCTTAACTCGGCCAAACCATTTGATCATGTATTAGTCTGCTACTGCTGTGCTCCTGCTACCAAAGCAAATTTCTGGGGCTGTTGTGTTAAATGGGGACAGGTCAAAACTTCACTGCTGGGAGGATTTTCACACTTCAGATATTTTTTTGTAGTCTGCAGAGCTCCCAACACATTTTTTCATATAATATATTCCTGCTGTGCCCATCTGGGTGTGGGTGGAGACACTTTAAAACATCTGCATGTCAGACATGTGCGGGCAACATTTACCCACTTACTCCGCCTGCTTTGGGGCCCTGCCTCTCCTTGGTTTTTGTTTTTAATTAATGTAGACCTGCTTTTTTTCTACCAGGATATAGAATGGGGTGTTACTTCTGTCAGCACCTGGAATGGTTACAGTGATAATTTTCCTAATATGGAGTAATGTGTTTGGACAATAAATACACACATCACCCCCAAAATCTGGAGTCCTAAGGAGCAGCCTGAGTAGTTCTGTCCTACACTGTCACAGTTAGGTCAAAGATGATGTAAATCCTGTGGTGAACTTTCCATTTAGTGTCAGCAAGTTAGTTGTGTTCCAGAAAAGGCAGACACTACATTATGCTTTGTAGCATATGGCATAAATTTAGCTGACATCAGAATACATCCCATATGTCAAGTGAAGTGCCATCAACTTCTGCCATGCTAGTTCTTTCATGTCACGTGTCATGATATGGCCAGTAGGTATCTCTCACTCGCCACCAAAGCACTCATGATGTAAACATCTGTCAGAGTTTTCACTGAGAACAGTTTCTGTAGGCTTTTGGATGAGCTTTGTTTGTGCTTAAAACTTAAGATCATAGCAGATCATTAATTTCTTCTGATTTTTGACTCCTTTTATTCTGAGAGTTGCTTTCTCAGGGTGCTTTTTTAAAGCTCTTTGTGTACTTTCCCATTCATTTTGTGTAGATAGATCTTTTTGCCTGTAAATGTATTAAAGGGCTGGCCAAGACGCACAGGCGGTTTGGTGTTTAGATACTTAAAAAGGGATGTTTCCTTTTAATCCAGTGTTACTGCAGACATTAGGCTGTGTTTCTCACACGTTAGGCAAAGTAGTTAAATCTTAAATTTACAATCTTTTTTTAATATTTAAAAACAAGAAAAAGCGTTCACATTACCTTTTCTTCCTTTCTAGCCTTCAAGCCTTGAGTAACTTGTAGGAAGAATTAATTTTGAGGTAGCTCTGTGTTAAGTCACACAGTTAAGTGTTAAGTTCTGCCTTTATACTGAACCTGGCATTCTTTCCTGGGTACTGTTAATTAGTGCAGAGGTTAAAACGCATTTTGGAACATGGAGAAATCCGTACATAGAGATCTGCACTGTGTCTATATATTGCTGCAGGTACCCAGTCTGGGAGACTGGAGCTTATCCAGAGAGGCTATGGGCGTTAGTCATGTAGATCCACCAAAACTTTCTGCCTCTGAGCTACATATCAAAATCATGTGACCGCATACATGTGACATGTCATAAAACTGAGGAGAGAAGGGGCTCCAGCTGCAGTTCAGCTCGGAAATGTTGGTGGCTCTCCAGAAGTCCCACTGAAGGATGTGGCTGTGTTAAGCATGGGTTAGCACGTCCTACTTTACCTGTCAGCATCACCCTCCATATCCTCGGTGGGTTGGTATCCTTGCCTTATGGAGGCTCTTGGCACTGCCTAGGCCAGCAGATCACGTAGCCACCCTCCACGGGCTGCATTTGCACCACTTACAATGTCAATCCACCTCGGTATAGTGCTTGCCTGGTGATGGTGTTGGCAACTCAGGTGTGCTTTTTCTGGACACAGTAATAGAATACTCTCAGACACTGAAAGACACTTTTGGAAGCACTTTTTATTTTGCAGCTGTCCACTGCTGCTAGAAACTGATGTCTCTTTTCAGATCTTGTCTTTTTTTCCCTCCTACTGTTTTTTTAAGGAGAAATACTCCCTATAGGGTTTTCTTACTGTCTGAGTTTATCATCTCTTGTCAGATTAGTGTTTTTTTTTCTGATCTCCAGTTTCTTATCTATATTACTTTTTTCCTGAATAATTATCTCTGCCAAGTTTTGTTTTGTTTTAGTGAGCTTTGTACAAATGCAGTTTTACTCCCCAGCTTGGCAAGACTCTAAAGCATGTGAGCAGTGATAGAAAATCTCAAAATTTGGGTGTCATCTTTAACTAGAGCCTTAGTAACCTTCAAATCCCTCAACGCTAACTTCACCTTCATTCTAACCAGGTAGACGTGCCTGGACCCAGCCAGAAAATAGCAAAGTAATTGATTCTGTCTGATT